TCAGCACTTGTAAGTATATTCTTCACGAATCTACCATCAGGACTAAGGAGAACAATTCTACTGTTTTGACTGTCTGCTATAAATATATGATCTCCTTTGTCCGTACATACACCACGAGGATACCAGAGCTGTCCATCATTAGAGCCTTCGGTTCCATATCTGAAGACCTCTGTGCCTTCTTTGTAAATTGCTCTTATGCAATGTCCATGATAATCACTTATTATGTTGACACTTTTACTGTTGCAGGTGAGATATAGAGGAGAATTGAATGTGCCTGGTTGATCCTTAGACTCTCCAGTAGATTGATCAACAGTGTATACTTTCTTGGTGTTGCCATCTATCACCAGAAGCTCCCCTGCAGGGTTCATTGCTATACCCCACAATGATGTTAATCCTCTGCAGGTAACATCACGTTGATGAGTGCCATCTGTGTTGTAGAAGCTGATTTTGTTAGTGTAGCCATCAGTGAATGCTAGGTTTCCATCTTTTGTTATGGTTACTGCCCAGAAGTTCTTTTTCAAGTCTTTCTTCAGCATATGATTTCTATCATATATACATGTACTGGAATTCATTTCTCCTGTTACTACATAGTCACCTGCTGGGGTGACAGCCAAATCCCAAATATATTTTGAATGTAGTTCCCTTCTTGTTACATTTGGCTCACATAATGGTGTGACAACATCGACTTTCTCTAATTCTTGATGTTTTTCTGTAGTTATTTTTCCAAACTCAACTCTGTCATCACCACATTTTCCCTTGTTGTATTTAAAGTGAATCTTTGTGCTGTAGGCGGTCTTTGGTTCTTTGGACCACTCCTCAGACTTCTGGTTGACCTGCTCCACAAGGCCAGCTATTTCTACAGGGTGACCATGTTCCACCATAGTGCAGTATTTGTTGACTTGACCCTCAACGATGGCCTTCTGAAGCTCTAGGTGGCCAAGGTGAGATATGACTTGTTTAACATTGGATTCTTTTTCCTTCATCACTTTTTCTGTGTAGGACTTGTATTTCTTGCGAACAACTTGAATCAGAGAATTCATATCATTGTTTATTTCAGCTGCAATGCTTTCTGCATTTCGCTCCAGTTCACTTCTATATGCCTGTGTGTCTTCAATGGCCTTTTCATATATGTCCACAAGTTCCTTTCCCTGTGTTATTATTGCACCAATAGGCTTCATGTTCTTGATGACCGTTTCTTTAATCTCCTCACAAGCATGACCAGCGTGTTTTGTGGGGTAGCATAGCTGACATAGCACTGTTTTGTCAACCATACAGTAAAGCTCAATGGGCTTGGTGGGATGCAGTTGACAGTACACAGTACGCTCTTTTATTGACTGAAGTGTTGTTTGTAGATCTTGTGCACTATCTCCTGTAAGATGAATTGTTTTGTGATCCTTTAACAGAAAGTCATGATTTTTACCACAAGCGGCACATAACTTTTTGTCACAATCTAGGCATCTGATTTTGGCTGGGATGTTTTTTTCATGTAAATGAAGACATGAATCACATTCCGGCTTTTGGGTCAGCTGACTGTCCTTAAAGGCATCTACCAAGAATGAAATTGTAGGGCTCACCTTGAACTCTCCCACCCCTTCCTGTGGTATGGTACATACATATCGGCATTCAGGGCAGTTGAAGGATCCTCCTTGGAGTTTACCCTTCTGTATAAGGCTATCAAGGCATTTCAAGCAATAAGCATGCATGCATGGCAATGCCCTCGGTTCCGTTAAAATGTCCTGGCATATTCCACAGGTTAAACCAGCTTTATAACGATCATCTGAATATGACGCCATTTCTCAATTTTTTAAGATGTAATCTTGTGTTATATACACTGTTAAAAGTCCAAGGCCAAAAATTATGTTTTTGATTTTGAATTATATAAAATGGTTAATGATTACCCAGTATTTAACGATAATTAAATAGTACTGTTGCTGTGAAAATAATATCCAGATGGAGTAATATACTAAATAAATGAATGTTTCTTAATAATTTCTGCCTTAAAGGTTTTGGTGAATCAAATCCATAATTCCACTTCTACGTTACAGGTTAAAAAGCTCTATTATTTTCGTTCTTTTGAATGTTTTGCTGTTCTATATCCAAATTTATGTTAAGCAGTTCTCAGAACATATTTAATATTAACTCGATATTGTAAGCTATGTTATCAGGTCACCATGACTTTTAACATAGACCTTAAAATGAAACTTGTATATCAGACACCACACTAATGCAAAAACTCCTATCAATAAGAACACTTTTTCTCTGTCCTTATTTGGTAATATCCCATTGACTCATATATTTAAAATCTTGAAATACGAACATTTTTGCCTGGGCCCAGTGGTGTTATGATTATACAGATTGTACTGTATACTGACAATGACAACATAAGATACTAAAATGAAGTTTGAAAATGTTTCCCTTTAAACTTTTGATGATTGAATTATCTGTAGTTTATTTAAAGATTTTATTTCTATTTAGAATTGAGTGAAAAAATGTAGAATTTGACAGAAAATATAATTTGCATGGCCTGGACTTCATAAACCTGACCCAATCAAACGTGTCAACATTCAGGTCATTGTACTATTAAATACAAGGGTTGTCTAAAAAGTCTTAGAATTTTTATTGTTAGACAACCTATATTCTTTTGACTTCATACTTAGGGGCGGGGTCAAAATATCGATGTTCATATGGAGACGAAAGTACTTTCGCGAGGGGGGGAGGGGTTTTTTGGGCACTTTCGTTGACCAAAAAACATCGATAATTCGGATCTGATATACAAAAAATAATTGGACTTACCCACTTTTTCTGGCGCTATGTTCTGATAAAAAGGCTTGTTTTCAATAGTTCGTGAGCTTTTTTGTGTGATAGGTCCAAAATATCGGTAGATAAATAAGGGTTATGTACTGGGAGGTTTTGGATATGGGGTTTATCCAGAGGGAGATATGCATATCTACCTGAGGGACCGTAGGGACCGAAGGTAGATGTGCATATCTCACGAGGGATGAACCCAATATCCAAACCGACCGTACATAACTGCTTTATCCTATACCAAGTCTAATTTTCTTTCGATTTTTTCAATTTTTTTTCACATTTTTCTTATTTTTTTCAATTTTTTCAAATTTTAATTTTTTAAATTTTTTTTCACATTTTTTATTTTTTTACAATTTTTAAAAAAAAATTTAATTTTTTTTTTCGAAGCGGGAAGATATGCGCTGGAGCGGGAGATATGGCGGGAGATATGGAGGTTCAGGATATGGAAACCTCAATACGGGATATATCTTACCAACTTATCTCCCTAAAACTCTACTTGGCATAGGATAAAGACTGATAATTCGATCATTTTTCAAATAAATTCCGTACTTTTCCCTCCTCCTTTTGACGAGTTCAATGCAGTTAAATTGCCAACGTGTGTTAATTCACCGTAATAATAACCCGGCAAATAGGATACGATTATTAATCAATGTTTTTTTGAAGTGACCTAAGGTTTCGTCTAGAGGGGGGTGGGGGGGTTGTTGTCCAAATGAAATTACTTTCGTCTCCATATGAACATTGATATTTTGACCCCGCCCCTTAACCTGCACCTGGAAGATTAAAAAATGTTGTCTACTTTTGAAGAAATTACATACGATACACACATTCTGGAAGGATAACATAATGCTCATCTCACTGTTTATATGTTGTTAGAAAATTAACTTGATAATATACCCATCCAATCCATTTCAGCAATAAAAATTTATGGATAAAATAGTATTTGACCCTCTCTTGATACTGGAAAAGAGAAGTGGGGGGGGGGGGGGCTGAGGGGTAGTACAGATATGGGAGTTAAAGGTATTCATTTTAACATATTTGGTTTTTTACCCAGATTTGAAATTTTGACATTATATTTACAAAGAAATATATGAAATATATACCACTAAATAACTTACCAGCTGGTTGAATATTTCTCTGATAAGCAATGTTGATAATTGCTCCTAAGCAATCAGATTAAAATATCTATGGCGCCTTATCTGTCTTACATTTATGCTTATTGCTCTTAGCTGTAGTACCCTTTTCAAGAAAAGAGAGCTTTATCAACACTCTTTGAATAAGAGATAATCCATTGATCAATCTTTACCCAATCAGATTAGTCATTCAAATTATAGCTAGCCAATCAGGTTAGTCCATCAAATTATAGCTAACCAATCAGGTTAGTAATTCAAATTATAGCTACCCAATCAGGTTAGTCCATCAAATTATGGCTACCCAATCAGGTTACTCCATCAAATTATAGCTACCCAATCAGGTTAGTCCATCAAATTATGGCTACCCAATCAGGTTACTCCATCAAATTATAGCATTCTGATTTATCAACACTCTTTGAATAATCCATTGATTAATCTTTACCCAATCAGATTAGTCATTCAAATTATAGCTAGCCAATCAGGTTAGTCCATCAAATTATAGCTAACCAATCAGGTTAGTAATTCAAATTATAGCTAGCCAATCAGGTTAGTCCATCAAATTATAGCTAACAGTAGTGTATGTAGTGGTGGAACCTGCGAGAAATGTGGAGATGACAATCTCCGCCAGAATGCGATAACAATCTCCGCCAGTATGCGATACCAATCTCCGCGAGAATGTGGTAACGATCTCCGCAAGAATGTGATAACAATCTCCGCGAGAATGTGATAGCAATCTCCGCGGGTATGTGGTGACAATTAGAGTCTTGGGGACAATTAAATTTAAAACAGTTCCCAAAAGGTTTTCTCCATAACCCAGATACTAGTGGTTAGTTCTTATTTTCACCACCAGATGGCTAATTCGGGATAAATATGATGGTAGGTATACTGAATGAAGAAATGATTCTCTTAAGTCAAATCCAATATATTTATACGACAATGTGGTAATGTATATTATCATGGATGCTATTTCATAGATTAAAAGTTTCACTTTTGATAAAACAACTAGCTACATACTTTGAATCGCTAGACATCAACATTAATGCTAGATTACAAAATTTAAAACTTCCACTATGATGTCATCAGATTGCCCAGACCAAATTTAAAAATGGGTAATACGTATTGTATTAAAGCTAATCCTAAAATGAACTATCAGCATATAGATTTGAGCTCTCTTGAGGTAGAAACATGACATCCCAGTTCTACGTTTACTTGAATAGTAAGGATTCTATGGATCTTTATCCTTCTAACAATAACACAAGTTTCACTGTAAAATTACCGAGATATGTATCATTAGCTCGGGAACACTGGCAAGTTGGTTTAGTGGAGATAAAACATCCAACTATTTACAAGACCGTTGTTATGAATGTACTCTGCGATTTATGCGAGGGATCCATAGCTGGTGGAGAGTATCTCCCATTGCTAAGACAAGTACATGCTCATCAGGATCAAGTATTTTATTCTGCGAATCAGCAATCGTTTAATCCGATTCTATATAAAACAATTATACCTTCCGGATTTCAACACATAACCATTACTATAAAAGCTGCAAAGGGAACTGGTGACCTTTCATTCAACGAGTTGCCATTCTACTGCGCTCTTCACTTTAAAAAAGCACACATTTTTTAGTCAAGATGAGGGTATCGAGCTACACACCCGATGATGGTAAATGGAGTAGATTCTTCGCATCTTCGGTGAATAAGAGTTTAGCTATGGACTCGAGAAGATCTCAGAAATATGTGTCTCTCAATAATTCTCAATATGTAATTAGAAATAATCAAGAAGGAGGCGCGCCAATTCAGCTCGTATCACCGTCAGAAGCGATAGTGCAGAGAGCTAGTGAAGAACTGAAGCGGGAGAAGAGACTGGATACAATCAAAAGACCACGACCTCCCGGAACTCCCAAGGAACCAATCAAAAAACGTAGACGTCGAGAAAGCAAAGCATCGAGAAATGCGATAAAAGTCACATCCAAACCTAAAAAGCTCACATCAAAGAGAGGAAGCAAAACACCGAGAACTGTTGATATATTGACTAGGAAACAAAATGGCGGAAAAGGTAGTAGGAAGTGAGGAATCTTCTTCTAGTGAATTGATGTTGTTCAATACACCCTTAACTGATACGAGTATCAATCGATTTAAATGGGTTGAACATAGACCAACTTCAAGCATCAGTCCTGGTACTTGCGTGGAATTCAATATCCCAAACAATGGTATGGAGTCTGAAACGTTCTCGGCTACATGTCAAAGTAAAAATACTTCAGGAAAATGGGAGCGTTATGAACTGGGACGCGGATGATATACAGGGAACACAAAAATGCGGACCAATAAACTTGCTTTTGCAAACCTTATGGAATCGTATAGATTTACAAATTCAACAGCACTCCATCACTGCTGCAACACCGGATTTTGCTTACAAAGCCTACTTACACGCATTGCTAGGCTATTCCTCTGGAGATAAAGCTTCTTGGTTACAAGCTCAAGGTTATAGAAAAGATGAAATTGATCCCGCTGCAAATGATGTATGGAATGGAGGAAACCCCGGTCTAACAATGCGATACATGGACTACAGAAATAGCCGCGATGTAGAATTGGTCGGCCCCATATACGAAGGATTTCTTCAGTCAAATCGGCTACTTCTCAATGGAGTAGAGTTGAAAATAAAATTATGGCCTAATAGCAGCGAGTTTGGTTTGGTTTCGAAGGACAATCAAAAATGGCAGTTAGTCATCACGGACGCATATTTTGAAGCCTGTATGGTCGAAGTTAATCCTGCTATCATTAAAGCCCATAACGAAGTGTTACTTAGGACACCAGCTAGATATCCTTACCAGGATGTGGAAGTTAAAGTTAAGAGCTTAGCAACGGGCAACTTTAACTTTTCTTGGGATAACATATTTCAAGGACGTATACCATCTTGTCTCACTGTGTGTTTTGTATCTGCTCGAGCCTATGCAGGATCATATGACACGAACCCGCTGTATTTGGATCACTTTAAACTCTCCAGTCTTTCAACTCAGGTCGATTCTCAAGATGTTCCTTCTAAACCATTATCACTGAAATTTTCCAGCGACCTTATCCAAAGTGAACAGTATTTGACGGCCTATCTAAGACTTTTTGAAGCATCATTATCTGGTCACGATAATCTCAATGATATCCAGATGAGTGATTTCCGAAACGGATTTTCAATCTTCCGTTTTCAATTGGATGGTGTTGATGACAACAAAACCGTGTTCCCGTTACTCAAGGGTGGGCAACTGAAAGTGGAAGGACGTTTTGAGAGTGCTCTTCAGGAACCAGTCTGCGTAATGGTATTGGGATCATTTCATCGGCTAGTGGAAATAGATCGTTTTCGTGGAGTTAACGTTTCATAATTATGAATACTCGGCAACTACAACAGATTATGAACTCTGACACGTGCTTACGTCAACATACACACGCCGTGTATGCATCGGATGAGATACCAGAACGTGTTGTGCAAAGACCAGCCTTTTTCATCGTGAATACCCAAGCAAGTTCATTGAGGGGACAACACTGGTGCGCCTTCTCATTCTTCAATAAAACTGAACCCGCCGAATTTTTCGATTCAATGGGACAATCACCTGAATATTACAACCAAGCATTCCTGAATGTTCTTGTCGATAACAGCAAACATTTCATTTATAATAACACCAGGATTCAAGGCAAAGACCTGACATGTGGACAGCACTGTGCTTACTATCTAAATAAACGGTGCAGAGACAACACTATGAGATGCATCGTGAATTCATTTTCAAAATATAATTTGAAAGAAAATGATGTCTATGTGAAAGAATTTGTAAATCGCATGTATGGTAATGTTGTGAACGAATTTTACTGATATCAAATAAATATATGATGTAACGATAAATGCATTCATTCTTTTGTTGATGTTGATTCACGTATAAACGATGTCTACCAGATATAGTGTAAATAAAAAACCGGCACTTAGTCGGGCTATGAAAAAGGCTTTGAAATCGGCTTACTATAGCGCCAATCGACCAGGATCATTTTCGAGTCAAAAGCAACTGTGGAGACAAGTAAAGCATTTGGGTATCACTCAGTCTCAGGTGCGGGACTGGATCAATAATCAGGAGAGCTATGTGTTGTTTAAGAAACCAAAGCCTACGAAAACAAGACGTAAAATAATAGTCTCCTCTTTGAATCAGATGTACGACGTAGATTTGGCCGACATGAAGACTTACTCAAAGTATAATTCAAAGATGGGTTATTTATTGGTTCTAGTGAACGCATTTAGTAGATATATGTGGGTGCGTCCATTGAAAACGAAAAAAGGCGAAGATGTTGTCTCAGCCCTAAAAGATATACTTAAAGAAGCACCAATTCCGCTACAAATTAGGAGTGATCAGGTAAAACACGTTGCACTATTCAGGACCGTAGCCAGGGGGGGTTCGGGGGTTCGAACGAACCCCCTCCCCCTCCTGGCGTTTAATATTCTTAAGAAGTAAACCCCCCCCCCCCCCCCTTAACAAAAGTTATCCTTAATATTCAAAACACGATATCGCAGATAATAAATGGGTGAACTCACTAGTTAATTAACATCTTTAACTGAAAAAAATGTATATAGACATATATCATGTGTTTCAGGGAAAAGAATTTGTTAACACAACCTTGAAAAGATATTTTAAAGCAGAGAAAATCGATCATATTTTAGCTTTTGGAAACATGAAAGCTGGCCTCGCCGAAAATGGAATAAAGAGATTAAAACAACGTTTAGTACGTTACATGTACGCCAATAACACATTCAAATACTTAAGTGTGCTTACAGACATTGTGCGATCGATCAACTCAACATATATGGAATCCATTGGCATGAGTCCGTCTGAGGTTAGCGCTGAAAATCAAGATCAAGTTTGGGATAAGCTTTATTACGCAACGTACACAAAACTTCCTTCGAGATTTCAACCTAAATTTAAGGAGGAGCAGTTAGTGCGCATCTCTCTAGATAAGACTGACTTTACACCCGGATATTTAATGGCCTGGAGTCAAGAGTTATTCAAAGTGAAACATGTAAAGCAGACCCAGATAATTGCCGCAAATGTTCAGGAGAATCAGTTGTATAGAATTGAAAAAATATTGAAGAAAAGGCGTTTCAAAAACAAGACACAGGTGCTTGTGCGTTGGTTGAACTATTCTAGTAAATTCGATACATGGCTGGATGAAAGCAAAATCAAAGATTTCGAATAAAAATCAATGAAACTGCAACGATCGCTATTGAATAAGAAAACAACACAGCAGACAATATGGATGAGAATAAGTTTCGATCGTGTGACAAAATTATAATTGGTGGACCTTCATAGATTCATAAATTTCAAAATCACTCCATCACTGTTACAACACCAGACTTTGCTTACAAATCCTATTTACACACAGTTATACAAATCCCCTCCTCCTCATTCTCTCCTCCTCCTCATTCCCTCTTCCTCCTCATTCGTTTTCCTCATTCCCATTCCCTCCTCCTCCTCCTCCTTTTCCTCCTCATTCCATTTACCTCATTCTCATTCCCTTCTCCTCCTCCTCCTCATTCCCTTTCCTCATTCTCATTCCTTCCTCCCCTCCTCATTCCCTTTCCTCATTCTCATTCCCTCCTCCTCCTCCTCCTCCTCCTCCTCCTCCTCCTCCTCATTCCATTTTCCTCATTCTCATTCCCTCCTCATCCTCATTCCATTTTCCTCATTCCCTCCTCCTCATCTTATCCACATAAAAAGATTTTGTTATGTCAATGTAATAGGCTAGTGAAAAGTAGATTCAGATATAAGTATGTAAGTAATCAGTTGACATCTTCATTTAGACAAAACATTTAGAAGACAAACACCATGTATAGCTGCAGTGAATGTTTGAAGCAGTTCTCTCGCAAAGACAATAAAGTTCGTCACATGAAGATTGCACATGGATGTAATATAACTCAAAACGATCATATATCTAAAGGGGTAGGACAGTATGGGATGGGACTTAATTCATCAACAAATCCGGTTATGAAGTTAACAGGAGATATTTCAAAGGTGCTCTATCATCCATTTACTATGATGGTGGTTGGACCAACAGGTTCGGGGAAATCTACATATGTTAAGGAACTGATTGAACATGCTGCTACCAGAATATCTCCATCACCACAAAGAATCATATGGTGTTACAGTCAATGGCAACCTCTATATGACGACATCATGGCAATCAGCTCAAATATTGAATTCATGATGGGAATACCAGACGAATTGAGTAACCCAGATTTCTTGGATGTGAATCAGAGGAACTTGGTTATCTTTGATGATTTAATGGGTGATATAACAAAAGATACAAGGATTACTGATTTGTACACACGTGGATCACATCATAGAAATCTAAGTGTCATTTGTTTGATGCAGAATTTGTTCCCAAGTGGTAGAGAAAGTCGAACTCTTAGTTTGAATTCCCACTACATTGTGTTGTATAAGAATCCTAGGGATCGTCAACAAATATCTGTTCTCGCTCATCAGATGTATCCTGGAAAGTCTCGCAAGTTACTGGATGCATTTGAGAAGGCTACACACCAACCTTACAGCTACCTGTTAGTGGACCTCAAGCAAGAAACTCCTGAGAGTATGAGATTATCTAATCCTCTTACAACTACACATAAAATGCTGCAAAAACCATTAGCAAAACAAAGTTTGGAGGAAGCAAATCAATCGCAGCAGCGTGAAAGTAATGTTAATGTAGTTAAGGTACCAGAAACATCTCAAATATATGAGAAGGATGCAATAATGTGTGATATAAATACTGGTGCTTCACCTTGTTCGACTCATTTAATCTCTCGTAGATGCTACAATATGGTCTCGTGTGATGACTGTGGTTTAGTCTTTGAAAGTGTTCATGATTTGCAACGTCATGTCAAGAATTGGTGTCAAGGGCAAGGTCAATTGTACAAGAAAATGAAGATTGAAACCCCCTCACATACAAAAGAAGATTCCCGTGAAGAAGATGGTGATCTAACATTAAATGAAACATTTGAATATTTAAAAAACAGGGCAAGAAATGATAATGAAAAGGATTATAATCATAAAGTAAAGGAGTATATGGATAGGGGAAACAGTGAAAAGGAGGCTATAGAAAAGGCTGAGAAGAAACTCGTACGAAAGGATAAAGAAAGATTCGTGAAGCACTATAAGAAGGTCTTAAAACTAGTATTCGGTTTAGCAGACAATGCATTACACAGAAATATTGTAGATGCAGTGAATGATATGTTGATAAGAGGTGTCTCTAGAGATCTTGCAATCAAAAAGGCACTTGTGAATGCTGAACATAAGTTTAATGAGCTATTTATAGAAGATACGGATGATGAAAGCGAGTCTGATGAAGATTCCAGTGATGAAGAACAATCTTATTCTCATGATGAAAGCAATTCTGATGAAGAATCTACTGACGAAGACCAATTTTATAATCGTAATGAAACCGATTCTCAAAGTAATGATATGACTAGCATTTAACATATAAAGAAATATGTAAAATAAATATAAAATTTAAAGCATTTACACTATAAAACAAAGTGTTGTGTCATTGATTGTTTACCTAACAATGTGAAATATATTTCTAGTTGTAGCAAGTGTCCTTCAAAATGTATTCTAATATTATGAAAATGATAGATGCCCCTCCCCCTTTTCATAATCATTTAAAAGCTGCATTAAACACTGAGTTATAACTTTTCCTCATAACCTTTGCAATAATAATTGTGAAAATATATATAACAACACCTGCAATGCAACTATGTAAGTTTATTCAGATATTTGGAAGTTTACATTGATCAGATGAGAGATATATGCTCATAGTATGCACATTAAACTGTGTACTTAGAAACTATATTGTTTATTTAAGATCATTCGTGCAAGATAACGATATTGATATTAAACAGATAGCAAACAGGAAGATAGTATTTGGAATAAAAATTAATCTAATTGAGATAAGTTTTAATGTGTATATGGGTATTTATATAGACTTTGGAATATGAATGTTAACACTTCATTGTCCAAACCAAATGAGGGCTCTTGTCATTCATCATCATCCTATACATGATGGTTTCTTAGTTTTCCCTTTGACGCATTTGCTTATATAATTATAGAATCATGTTAATTAAGTCAGATTTTCTTTTCCATTTTATTCCCAGATAATAATTTCTTTCTCTATTCATCTTTTTCCCGAATGTATAGTCATAGAACTAAAACAGGTTTGATTAAAATATATCGTATAAATATATTGGATTGAAGTTAACAGAAGCATTTCACCATCCAGTAAACGTACAATATTGTTTATCCAGAATTAGCCATCTGGTGGTGTAAATGAGCACTAAATACTAGTATCCGGCATGTTGCATTTTGAGATTGTTATGGCATTCTGGCGGAGATTGTTATGGCATTCTGGCGGAGATTGTTATGGCTTTTTGACGGAGATTGTTATGGCTTTTTGGCGGAGATTAAATCTCCACATTTCTCGCAGGTTCCACCACTACATACACTACTGCTAACCAATCAGGTTAGTAATTCAAATTATAGCTAGCCAATCAGGTTAGTCCATCAAATTATAGCTAACCAATCAGGTTAGTAATTCAAATTATAGCTACCCAATCAGGTTAGTCCATCAAATTATAGCTAACCAATCAGGTTAGTCCATCAAGTTATAGCTACCCAATTAGGTTAGTCCATCAAATTATAGCTACCTAATTAGGTTAGTCATTCAAATATGAAAAATATGAAGATTATTTATTTATTATCACCATTTTGTTTTCACAGGCATGTACCTTTAATTTCACTAGTAATTTCAAAATTGATTGGGGCTTGGGAGGGTTAGTTTCTGATTTGATATGAGGTTTGATTTGGGTTTGG